ATATATGAATCTTGATGTTATAATAGGTAGTAGGCCTATAGCTCCAAAAGTTGGACACTTGAACTGAAACCTGTGTGAACTTGACCTGCTTAATTTGTGAATTGTTTTTACAGTAAAGCACTTGTTCATAAATACCTTGGTAAGTCCACTAGTAGATGTTTCACGTCAGTTAACCTTTCAATGCCTAACTTCACGGCTCTGATTTGTGAAAATTTTCACAGTGCAGTTCATTGGTTGGTTAACCCTTTCCTGAGTTCTTCACTAAAAGTTAAATAAAGACTAAAGGAAGGGTTAACTAACCAGCTAACCATTGTGAAATATTTCACAAATCAGAATTGACAAGTTATGGACTCAGCGAAAGATTAACTGACCAAAACTGCATTGTGAAAGATTTCACAAATCTGGGGTGCGTTTCCCGAAAGATTGGAAGATTCAGGACATTTTTTTACATCTCCGATTGTATTTATCTGAAAGAAGAATGTCATATACACCTAGGATGACTTAAGGGTGAGTAAATCATCTGGTAATTTTCATTTTTGGGTGAACTATACCTTTAAGATCTTACAAATCAGAATGGTTAAAGGGATACTTCACACAAAAATGAAAATTACCACATTATTTACTCACCCTCAAGTCATCCTAGGTGTATATGACTTTCTTCTTTCAGACGAATACAATCGGAGTTGTAAAAAAAAGCTTTATAATGGCAGTGATCAGCTGTATATTTTTTGAAGTCCATCAAAGTGCATCCATCCGTGATAAAAGTTCTCGAGGGGGTAAAACGGCTCTGGCTGGGTTAATAAAGGCATCCTGAAGTGAAGCATTCGTATAATAAAAATATCCAAATATAAAACTTTATAGACTAAAATAACTAGCTTCTGGCAAATATACGCAGTACGTCGCATTACTCGCATAAGTTGGACTTAGACTTAAGTCGAATCCGTCTGTTCGTTTGGCCGTAAGCTGGTTATTTTACTTTATAAAGTTTTAAAAATGAATATTTTTCTTACACAAACGCATCGCTTCACTTCATAAGGCCTTTATTAACCCCCCAGAGCCGTGTGGAGCACTTTTATCATGGTTATACACTTTTATGGACTTCAAAACAGAAACAGACATTCACTGCCATTATAAAGCTTGGAAGAGCCAGGACATTTTTTAATATAACTCCGATTGTATTCGTCTGAAAGAAGAAAGTCATATACACCTAGGATGTAGCCTGACTTCGTCATACTCATATTCTAGTCAGAATGTGAGTCTGATACTGCTCCATAGGGCTTTGATTAAGAGGCGTGTCTTAACCGAACCAGGAAAAAAAAAAACTCAATTGAAAACTGCACTCAATTGGATAGACCTACAACCAATCAGAGCAACGCATTAAGTCAACTACTTTGCATAGCACAGTTGTCAACTACAGAACTCAAATGCACGCACGCTGGAAGAAGTAAAATAACGAGTGTTGCTTCTTTTACTTGCTCCTCTATGAGTGCGACCAAAGGAGAAACCACAACGACCACAGGGTTTTCATTGCGTCCCTTCTTAGCGACCATCGGAGCCAGCTGATAAATTAAACTTTTGCCGAATCCCGTAGGAAGGACGGCAAACACATCTTTCCGATCGACAAATGCCTTGATTGCAGTTTTCTGTTCGTCTATTAAAATGAATGCGCTGTTGATTTCTTTTACAACAGACGCGATAGCGGAATCTAGGCTATACATCTCAGTTCTCCAGCGGCAGTCATCTCTGAGGGAAACCAGTTAAGCGTTCTTTGATAACGTGAGGATTACGTCCCTGCAGATAATCTGTCCATCATCGTATAAAGCCCGCCCTGGCAATTTGATTGGCCCGAACATTTTTTGACTGATCATAATTACTCCTCAATGGATCGAGTCCAGACCGAACTTCCCGACCAAAAAATGTTGTGGGCGGGGTTCGGGCTGGCATCCAGGCTACCTAGGATGACTTGAGGCTGACTAAATCATGGGCTAATTTTAATGTTTGGGTGAACTAACCCTTTAACTTGACTTTGGTGCTGCAAGGATATTGTACAACGCCAGGATAACCGTCCTTCTCATCTGAGCTCCAGTCTAACAGCGCTCGTCACTGTCAACATATTTGAGATGGGCTTATTGTTCACAGAAGCTGCAGTGCGGAGCATAAATTCCAGCGCATCGCTTCAGTTAACATAAAGTGCAAGATAAACTCAACATTAAATATTTGTCAGCTGTTTTACAATAGAATTGTTAAACGACCAACAGTAATAATCTGGCCTAAACCATGTCCTTGATATTGACTGAAAATGTCCTTTTTCTTTATTCCAACAATGTTTATTCCATGTTGCCCAACGCAACATTTACAAAAAGGTCCCATTTGTTAACATTAGTCAAATCTTTAGTTAAAGTGTAAATTGCAGGTTAACCACCACAACCAATTCATGTGTAAATTAAAGTGCTCAATGTGTATATGTAAAAATTTCTGTCTTAAAATGCGTTAAAATAACATTTATTGGGGTTTCTTCAAAGGTAGCATGTTTTTTACGTAACTGGGTGATGACGTCATAAAAGGGAGCGCGGGCGGTAATGCACTCACTCTGTGTGTGCCTGTTGAGGGAGAATAAAACGATTCGCGGGACTCCCGCAAACTAGAAATATCTATGAATAAAACATAAAAACGAATACATTTTTATTCATCTGTTGCAGAAAAGCAATAAGAACAACTAAAACAAAATAGAAACGGTTTACAGGCAGAGTTTCTATTGCTAACATGTCTGCAGCGTTGAGCGATGTAGCCAATCACAGACATATGTGTTGATTTCTTGAACGCAATAATGGCCAATCAGAAGCATTTACGATGGACTTCCCTCACCGCTCAAAACGGACTTTTTGTTCAGTGCTGTATTCTGTATGCTGGCAAATCCTCGAATTATAACAAACATAGTGTATATATTATGAAAGCTTCATTGATAATAACAGAGATGTGTGAGATCGCGATGAACTGATGTCAGCTTTTTAGGAATTATTATGGGAGCGCACTTTGCGCGCAGTCATGCCAGACCATGCACGCAGTAGCCCGCTTGCTTTTATGTTATAACAGTGATCAGGAGCATGTATGCTGATGTGTATGGTGGCGACACGTAGGCTAACTTGAAAGTATTTGGAGGTACAGAAAAAAAGTCTTTTTGCGGGTGGGAGCGGGACAAAACATAAATCAGCGGGAGAAAGTAATATAGAAAGTAGTTGAGAACGTCAGTTATAACGACCCACGTATTAAAAAACAGTCGGGTTTAAACCGGGCTCATAATTACAGTTAATGTGTCGGGCAGGGCCGGGCCGGGCTCGGACACAGCGGGCTCGGGTAGGGTCTTGCTTGATTTTTTTGGGCCCGATCTAAGCTCTACCTCGGGTAAGTTATGCTAACACTTACAGGCACGAATCAGCCGTTTGTCCTTGGGGAACTCATAGCTGCCAACTCTCACGCATTGGCCGTGAGACACCCGCATTTGATTGGTTTCACACGCTCACACGCCACACTCCCGATTTCTCACGCTGAAGTGTCAACCCGGGCGGTCAAATGCCTGGAAGATGAGTTTATCTATATATCTACCTGTTGAGCCACTCGTGATCGACTAGTTATACCGCAAATTCGTTAAAAATCTCCCGTTATCTAGAGCGAGCGTGCATGCGAGACAGAGATTGTGCTCCAAACCGCGTAGAGCGAGCGAGAGACCTTGCGCGAGCGAGACCCCCCCCCCGTCAACAAATCTCACTCGTCTCTACCCCCCCCCCCCCCCCCCGTCAACAAATCTCACGCCGAGCAAAACTCAAAAGTTGGCAGGTATGGGAACTTGTGGAGCCTCTCCCCCGTTTTTGATGTATTCGTACATCCCGCACAAACACAATAGTTAACCATTTTTGCTAGCTAGGTCTCCAATATAACGTAACTCCAGGCCTGGAGCATAGACAGTAAAAGCTTGGAGTACCTTTTATGACGTCACGCCCAGCTAGTGGAAGGGAACGGCGTGCTTAAAACCACTGTAAAACGCACCAAATTTTCATATTATATTCAGCATTTAGGTATAAAAAAACATAAAAAAAAACAATGGTGGGCGGTTCTTATCTTTATGTTTAGTAAGCACATTGCATTATCTTCGTGAAAAATTTTACCTGCAATTTACACTTTAACATGAACAATACGCCTACTTATAAAGAATTTGTTAATCTTAGTTGATGTTAATTTCAACATTTACTGATGCTTTGTTAAAATCAAAAGTTGTATCTGTTAATGTTATTTAATCGACCTGAGCTAAGATGAACTTAGTTAATTATTATTAATTATTGTTATCAAAGAATAATAACTATGCCTACTGTAAAAAAAAAAAACGTAGGCCTATTGCTCTTGTAAATGTTAGTTAATACATTAACAAACAATAACTAATCGAATCTTATGGTTAAGTGTTACCAAAATGTCATTATAGATTCATGAATTCTGATACTTCGCCATTTTCAAAACAATAGCATTAAACAGTCTCTTCTGTATCCAGTTTGAGGATCATTAATCGCAACATTTAACATGATTCTTATGTTTAAGTATTTGTTATCAGGCTGTGCTTAATACAAAACATAGGCTATACTACTGACATGGTTTTAAAGCTTTTGTTATTTAATTGTTTTGGCCTTCAAGAGTCTTAAAACAGCCCTGTGTGTAAGAATTTTATAATAAAGGTCCTGAATGTTAAAATAACAAATTATGCACAGAGGACCAATGAAGGGGTTTGTCCTATTCTACATCGTGAAATGAGATAATGTTGAGATGTGCATGCTGCGAATTACTAGTTCGCGTTTTTGGTGTATAATTGTATTGTTCTTCACTCTTCTGCTTTCAAAATGTTTATTAACGTTAAATAAAATGAGACGACAAGTTTGCGGTTCTCTGTCGTTATTGAACGAACACTCCTGCTAGTCCGCTTTGCAACATGATTCAGTAATCACAGCGCTACATACCTGCTATGCTGGAGACTTTTTACCACATATGCATCGAGAAGTTGTTTAATAATTCCTGTAGAAAATAGCAAGTAGCTTTTCTATCCGTGACAACAAAGTAGACTACAGTTGTTAGCAGTTAGCACTAGCATTATCAACAAGACGCGTATGGGCGGGGCTCTGGTGTGGGGGAGAGCTGAGTAAATTCAGTCTCATGGACACAACAGCAGATTCGACTATTGGAGAAGTATTCATATATTATTGAGTACAGATACAATTCACAGATTTGGAATGTATTCTTTGTAAATAAATTCTTAAATGAAAAAAAGATGAAAGTTTACTTTTCTGAAAAATATGTACCTATTTTTGTTTATTTTAATAGACAAAGATTACCACCAAATGTGGCCTTTGTTGTTAATCTTTGTTTGATTATGGGGAAATACCATATACATAAACAAAAATGGGCTAAAGGAAAACCTAACTTCAGATAAATATGAAAAATTACATTGAGTTACTATTTAGGTTTAAAAATATTAAAGCAAAACGCATTAGGTATCATCTGAAGCTTTTATGCTATTTATGTGATGATCTCATGCCTGTTTTTTTTCTGTGTATATGATTTTTTTTTTCCTTTTACTTGTATTATTATTTTATAAATTACACTGTATATTTTCTTTCCCTATTTTTTGTAGTCTATGTTTGGATAATATTTTTACACTATATGTTGGATTATTGTCATGTTTATTATTATATGTGGCTGGCATTCAATAATAAGAATTGTTATTTAATTTTTTTAAAGCAGGTACAATTCAGATATCTGAAAATATCACCGGGACTAGTCGAAACTGAATTAGAAACGTCTCTAATTTCTTCTGTGCATGTGTCTTAAAATAGTATTTAGACTAGCCAAAACGCATTTAGAGATATCTTGAATCGTTTTCATGAAGAAACACGTTAAATTCAATGTTGGACTAGACTTGAAGGAAATGCGGTAACACTTTACTTGAAGGGGTGTGCATAAGACTGACATGACACCTTCATAATCATGACATGACACATGTCATGAATATGAAGGAGGTCTTCTGCATGTTTATGACAAGAGTCATTTGCTCAATTCTGACATTTCTAATGCAAATATGACATTGAGATGTCTTTGTTATGACACCTTGACAATACATAATAACCTGTCAGTGTCTTCTTGGTAATGACAACTTGACATTACTAAGACAACACAACCTGTCATAAACATGTCATAAACACGACATAGCAGATTAATTATCAAACTTAAGAAACTACTTAGCTATATGGGTTAACATTAGATTAAACTGTCATGTGGTTGGTTTTGACATTAGCTGTCATGAGGCCATTATAACATTTTAATGACAAATTCAATTTGTACCACTGTAGTTGAGGTCAAGAAAAATATTCATGACAGTTATAATGGCCTCATGACAGCCAATGTCAAAATCACATTTGGTAATGACAGTTTAATGTAATGTTAACCCATAAAGCTAAGTGGTTTCTTAAGTTTGATAATTAATTTGCAATGTCATGCTTATGACATATTTATGACAATTTATGTTGTCTTGGTAATGTCAAGTTGTCATTACCAAGACACTGACAGGTTATGATGTATTGGTTTATGTCAAGGTATCATAACAAAGACATCTCAAACAATGTCATATTTGCATTAAAAATTTCATAATTGAGCGAATGACAGTTGACATAAACATGCATAAGACCTCCTTCATATTCATGACATGTGTCATGATTATGAAGGTGTCATGTCAGTCTTATGCACACCCCTTCAAGTAAAGTGTTACCGGAAATGCCAGGTAGATATTTTATTTATTATTGTTGCAAAAAAATGCAGAGTTGACATATTTATAAAACACAAAATAACAACAATGCACCTTTTGTCAAAAGAATACAGAGAAAAAATAACAATGATTGGCTAGTGAGAAAAAAGACATGGATGCCTAAATTATAAAGAAGAGGAAAAGCGAGGTTCAATAATGGTTTGCTTTTAGTGAGTCAGCTATTTAACAATAAATGATGTGCATTGTGCCCTAACCTGATTTACTTGCTTAATTAATTACTTTTAAGGTAATGGAAACATCACAAAAAGCTTGAACATGTTCTTTGCAAAATGTAGATGTATATAAAAACTGTAGAATCCGCCACAAAAATGGGTCTTCACACAGAGAATCCCATCAATTATTTCAATCAGATTTTGTATCTTTTCACCATGGAGGGGAGCCTCATTCCAGTCGTAAGAACGGCCCTTATCACATGATCCAAGTTAGCCATTACGCTTTTTCCAAGCCACAGACCTTCGTATCTCCCAATAATAAGACCATCTCTACTAGAAACTTCCAGGGAGCGATATTTTTTTTCCCAGGATGGTTGGGGAAGGTACCGCCTTTTCCGCCTCAGATTGGCTAGAAGGGCTCTCCTCCGATTGGTTATTTGATTTGGGTTTGTGTGTGTGTGTGTGTGTGTGTGTGTGATGGGTAGGTTTAGGGGTCGGGTTAGTGTGTGTGTGTGTGTGTGTGTGATAGGTTTAGATGGTGTGTGTGTGTATATGTGTAACTTCTCATCTGAAGAGATGACGGTTCACGGCCAAATCAAATAACCAATCGGAGGAGAGCCCTTCTAGCCAATCAGAGGCGAAAAAGGCGGTACCTTCCTCTACCATCCCGAGAAAAAAAATATCGCTTCCAGGCTGGTGTTGAAGAAACTGGAGTGAAACCCTCCAGGACTGAGATTGGACACACCTGATCTAAATGATATTGTGCTTTTCGGACAAACTGCATTTTTTTTTATTTGACACAATTTACTTGTGAGATATTTGATATGAAAACGAATGTTTCTCACTTGCAACATTTTTTCATATGATTGTGAAGGCTTGATGAACATTTGAAACTCTTCTCACACTGAGTACAGCAGTACGGCTTCTCTCCAGTATGAACTCGCTCGTGTGATTTCAGGTGCTCAAATCGAGTGAGACTCTTGTCACAATATGAGCACTTGTAAGGTTTTTCTCCAGTATGAATTCTTCTGTGATTTTTCAGATTGTCAGCTCTAGTAAAGCTCTTCCCACAGTCACAACACACATGATCTCTCACTTCATTATGTGTTTTCTGGTGCAATTTAAAATAATAAAGACTTGAAAAAATCGTTCCACAGAGAGAACACAAGTGAGGCTTCTCGTCTGAATGAACAGTTAAGTGTTTTTTTAGATGTGATGATGAAACAAATTTTCTACCACACGGATCACAGTTAAATGGCTTTTCTCCAGAGTGAACGAACAGATGATTCCTGAGACCTTTGGGACATTTGAAACTCTTCTCACACTGAGTACAGTAGTACGGCTTCTCTCCAGTATGAACTCGCTCATGTTCTTTCAGGGATTTTGAGTGAGTGAAACTCTGGTCACAATATGAGCACTTGTAAGGTTTTTCTCCAGTATGAATTATTTGGTGCTCTTTCAGATAGCCAGTTGTAATAAAGCTCTTCCCACACTCACAACACACATGATCTCTCACTTCATTATGTGTTTTCTGGTGCAGTTTAAAATGATCCAGCCTTGAATAACTCTTTCCACAGAGAGAACACACATAAGGCTTCTCATCTGAATGAACTTTCAGGTGTTTTTTTAGATTTGATGATGAATTAAAATCTTTACCACACTGATCACAGTTAAATGGTTTCTCTCCAGAGTGAATGCGTAGATGATGTTTAAGACCGGATCCACAAGCAAAACTCTTTCCACACTGAGTGCATGGATACGGTTTCTCTCCAGTGTGAATTCTCATGTGTTTGTTAAGGTGTCCTTTGCGACCAAAGCTCTTTCCACACTGAGGGCAGGTGTAAAGCTCATTAGCTTTGATGCTCTGCTGTTCCTCCTCTGCTTCATTCAGTTCATGTTTTTGCGGTTTCATCTCCATCCAGTCTAAAATAAAAATATGATGTTGTCAAAATAAGTTTAAGTGAACTCTGATTTAACGACTACAGCCCCATTGACTCCCTGTGCCAATGCATTGATGAAGTCAACGGTTGGATGTGCCAAAACTTTCTTCAGTTAAACAAAGGCAAAACTGAAGTCATTGCGTTTGGCAACAAAGAGGAAGTTCTCAAGGTGAATGCATACCTTGACGCTAGGGGTCTAACAACTAAAAATCAAGTCAGGAAACTTGGTGTGTCTCTAGAGTCAGACCTTAGTTTCAGTAGTCATGTCAAAGCAATAACTAAATCAGCATACTATCATCTGAAAAATATTGCAAGAATTAGATGCTTTGTTTCCAATCAAGACTTAGAGAAACTTGTGCATGCTTTTATCACCAGCAGGGTGGATTATTGTAATGGACTCCTCACTGGCCTTCCTAAAAAGACCATAAGACAGTTGCAGCTCATACAGAAGGCTGCCGCCAGGATCCTGAGCAGGACCAGAAAATATGAACACATCACACACCAGTCCTCAGGTCTTTACACTGGCTCCCAGTTACATTTAGGATTGATTTTAAAGTATTATTACTGGTATATAAATCATTCAATGGGCTAGGACCTCAATATATTGCAGATATGCTCACTGAATATAAACCTAACAGATCACTCAGATCATTAGGATCACATCAGCTAGAAATACCAAGGGTTCGCTCTAAGCATGGAGAGTCTGCTTTTAGCTATTATGCCAGCCGCAGCTGGAACCAGCTTCCAGAGGAGATCAGATGTGCTCCTACAGTAGTCACATTCAAATCCAGACTCAAAACACATCTGTTTAGCTATGCATTTACTGAATGAGCACTGTGCCACTGTTCGTCCGACTGTTTTTACTGTACTGGTTTTGTCTTTGTTTGTTTTCTAATTTCTAATTTATTTATTTTTATAATCTCTGGAAGAGATTTTGAAGGAGAGCGGGAGAGTCTTCACTCCGATGAGGCGAGTGAAGGAGTAAGTTATACTGCTGTATAAGAAGTCGCTGAGAGCGTCGTTAAGGGTAACGGCAGCAGAAGCGTGCTCTGGGCATTACTGGTGTAGCACCACCCCAGCAGAGCACGTCCCTGGGCTAGAGGTCCAGTGGCACCGTAAACCGGCTCAATCTCTTCCATCTCAGATAGGGGTGGACCAGTACTACTTTATTTGATTTTTTATTCTAAACTGTTTTAATTATTCTTATTTGTTTTGATTATTTTAAATTCTTCTATGTAAAGCACTTTGAATTGCCATTGTGTATGAAATGTGCTATATAAATAAACTTGAAGAAGAAGAAGAAGAACAGAAGAAAGCAACAGAGTATCAAGTATCAGATCTTTGATCTGCCAAAGGTTAGTTCTGTCATTTTCTTGTTAATCCATTTAAAATGTGGTTGACAAAAGCTATACAAGATTAGGATCATTAAGATGCATTTTCTGTATCTCTATTTTGCAAATCTGCTGAACTGAAACTTTGTTACCTTAAAGGGTTAGTTCACCCCAAAATGAAAATTCTGTCAGTAATTACTCTCCCTCATGTTTTTCAACCCCGTAAGACTTTCGTTCATTTTCGGAACACAAATTAAGATATTTTTGATTAAATCTGAGAGCTGGATCACTCCTCCATAGGCTTATAAGGGATTGAAACTTTATATAAATAGTCCAAGTGACCACAGTGGCTTTATTTAACAGTCAACAATGAAGAATCAAGAATGGACACCAACCTATTTGTTCCTCAGTATCTTCATGTTTTATTCTGGATGGTTCTGGATCACTCATGTCTTCAATCTCCTCTTTAATAAACTCCATCTTTAACAGTCACACAGATTTCAGCCGCTACTCCTGGAGTTTGTCCTTCTCTTGTAGGATGATGGGAATATTCCCAGTATTTATTGGTGAATTGTTGTGGGAGGGGCTTCACTGCAGGTGTGAACTGTGATCACTGTGTGATACTGACGCCCACAGGACCAGATCTGGAAAAATCAAAAACAAGTTACTGAATTTATACTGGATTAGTTTAAAGTGCCCCTATTATAACCTTAATTTTCTCACAATATACTTTGCACATCAACCTCATTTCTAAAAGAGTCTGAAAACAGTTTGTTCAAAGATTCTGTCTCTTTAAGCTCCTCCTTTCTGCATGCTCTGTTCTGATTGGCCAGATGGTCCAGTCTGTTCTGATTGGTCTACAATTTGAGCATCAGAAACAAAACGGCCACTCCTGGAATTGACCTATGGCTAAGCCACGCCCCCTCCACTCACTCGGACAAACAGTCAAGATCCGGTGACAGGCGCTATGGCAGCTGTCACAGTAGGAGACATTTCACAGGAGGCAATTGATGATTTTTGGAGACACTAAGATTATAAATATCATCTCGAAGTCACCAAAGGGGCCTTAACTATGCACTGGAGGGTTATATTAATAATTTTATTGTTGAGAAGGTCAATGAAAAGCTTCAGCTCCAGGCAAAAATGTACAGGTCACAGTGTAAACGTGATAAACCGCATCTCGTTGCCATCGCCTTCTCAGACAACAAGATAGAGGATCAGCATTGTTCATGCACTGCAGTATTTACATGAATCATTCAGCACAACATTGCTATCATTTGTTATCTCGGCAGTGTTTCCCATACATTCATTAATTTGTGGCGGCCCGCCACAATAGCAACGCTGACCGCCACGGATTGATTTTCAAATTTTTAACTATTTAATATGGGTAAATAGTATTTTATTGTAGAGCTGCGCGCAGCTAGCTTGCTCCCTCCCTCTCTCTCACTCTCACACACACAAACTGACAACGGAGGCGCGCGCGCGAATATCCCCTCCTCCTCCTCGAGCACGATCTGCATCAAAACATGAGCATGCGTAGGAGGATGGTGCTTATTCCCCAGCGAAGAAGATTCCAGAAATCAATCCGGACCCGGAGTTGAAAGGTTAGTATACGCACAACATAACTCTGAGAAGTTAGTCTATGTTAAACGCTGTCGCGTTTCCATTACAGATTTTTTCTAAATATCGATAAAAAAACTATTGCGAAATGACGGCGCGACTAAAACGTCCTTTTTTTCCTCTCGCGATCAGTCATTCCAAAAATCATGGCAACGGACGTTGGTAGGTTTATTTCACAGCCACCGCACTAGACATTATTATCATTAGCCTATTAATGTAAAGAGACGTAGGCCGCGTGTTACCCAAGCATTAATGACAAGGAAAGACCCTTATACTGTGAGCGGCACATATGAGGTGTTTTCTCACTCATTTCTGCTCCGAGCTCTTGATTGTGGCATTTCTTTAAGGTTTAGAATCCAGTATTCCTGTAATTATTTTGTCTTTTATGAATTTAATAAAGAACTCTGTCTCGTATTCTGTCCAAACACACTGCGCTTTCTAAGTCAGGTGACTGTAAATGCGCAAAAACTGTTTCCATTGCAGTTTTGCAAAAAAAAAAAAAATCCGAATTGCCTGAAAAACCACCTCACGCGAGCGTAAAACCTTTTTTGTGATAAATGGGAGTTTTTGCGAAATTCAATCAAATTATACATTTTATTTATTTTAGTGCATTTTGTGGGAATTTTTGTTGTTGTTGCTTTGTCCTTAGGTGAAAACAGACCTCCGAAACCAGCTTCAAGGAGATCACCTGGCTGCCTGCTTGAGGATCTCCATCAATGGACCCTGTCCTGAGGCCTTCCCATATGATAGGGCATTGGAATATTTTTTCAGAAAGTCCCGTAAAATTAAATGTGCAAACAAAGGGTGCAAAATTTGCAACAAGAAGTCTGTGGAGCAGTCATAGAAAGATGCGTGTCAATAAAAATATATGATATATTTAACCCTTTTGTTGTGCCTTAATTAACCCCCCTACCACCCCCCACACCAACCCACCCCGACCCACCCGAAAAAAACCAACCCGCCCCACCCGACACCCCACCACCGCAAATAGAATCAAATTCTGTGGGAAACACTGCTCGGTTATTTACAGATACGTTAATGAAGCTAAGTGACATGATGTACAACGCAGCTAGAAGCTAACGTTAACGTTTTCTAATGTTAGGCTAACGTTAGCCTAACGTTACGTTAGAGATGTTAAAGGTAACGTTCAAATACGTTGTTGACTTAGAACAGATGTAGACATCCTTGTTTAATTCTTGTTTAATTTATCCACGTGGTGTTGTGGTCTAAGTTACGGCATAACTTTATCCAGAGCAGACACTTATCTCGGTTGAGATGTGGCTTGGGAAAGGGTAAGAAATACACACCGTCGCCCAGCCTCTCGGGATACCTAGTGTCGGAGTTGCATGTAACTTAAAATGACAAGAAAACATAAAAACGAATGAAAACTGACTAACTGCAATGCATTTCAATGGACGTAGAAGCAGAGAATGTCTGAGTGTATTGGGTTAGCTATGCGCACTGTGATTGGCTCATCGCGTTTGGCAGCGTAAGTACACATTGATGGCTTAAGACATGAAACGAGCGGTTTGTGTGAGAAAACGACCAGTATTTATATCGTTTTTACCTCTAACCACAGCCACGTCCAACTGATCTGAGGGCGCGGGCGCTTCGGTCTGCGCAAGCGCCGGAAGGGATCTAAATATGGTTGTGAAAAAAATTCAACGTTGTCTGTTGATATATCGAAATCATCTTCCATTGAGATTTCCTGTATATCTAAATATGTTTAGATCTTTACAGTGAAAGGTAACACTTCCGAAACAATGAGTGACGTACACGCGCGAGAGATCACTTCCGGCACTTTCCGGCGCTTGCGCAGACCGAAGCGCCCGCGCCCTCAGATCACTTGGACGTGGCTGTGGTTACAAGGGGTAAAAACGATATAAATACTGTTCGTTTTCTCACACAAACCACTCATTTTGTGTCTTAGGCCATCAATGTGTACTTACATTTACGAGTCATTAAATCATGTTTAATTTGGACTTCTCTGTGCATGCTCTTTGAGGTGGTGACCATAGACCTGCATTATATCACTGACAGACAAGAACGGTTTGACCTAAAAATATCAAAATTGAAACTACTGCGGAAACAAAGACACCTACATCTTGGATGCCCTTGAGGTAAGCTAAAACATACCAAAAATACATTTCAAAGTGAACTATCCCTTTAAGCCCAGATTTTTATGAGTTTTTTATGAGTTGGGGGCTTGTCAGGGAGAAACATTGTGAAATCCCACATTACTTAAAGTTATTTAGCAGTGATATTGTCAGGCTTTTCTATTTACAGCAAATTAAGCTAATTGCCTACACAATATATTTTGGCATTATAATATGTAACGACGATAAAGTATGCAGTGGCTTCATAAATTAATTAAAAACATAAAAAAGCAAAACACTGGATGTTAAGAAATATCCAGCTATTCCAAATACGCTGTCTCTCAAGTCTCCTATCGCACTCAATCCTGATCCTCCCAGAACATTGGTCTTCTGACCTGGAGGTTGAGAGGAGTGTTGGAGTTTGGTCATTTATTTGATAATGGTCAATTGGGCTCATTTCAGTCGTTAATAGGAATGTAACCTTCCCAGTAATGATTTTTATACATTTCTTCAATTACGGCACTTTTTAGAGTTACTGAAATGGAAAAGTAGCTTTTCTCTTCATTCACACTTAAGAAGAAGATCTCCGAGATATATACATTGCTGTCTAACGTTTGTCCTTCAACTTTTGACTCTTTGAGGGTGATAAGGGAAAAAGACTTACGGTCAAATTTTAGTGGTTAACTGGTTATCTGTTTGTATGTGTTTTCCATAAAGGCGTTTCAATTTCGGCCCACGAACAGGACTTATCTAACTCCAGTTCGCCTTCATAAAATGTTCCCCAATTCTTCTCAGTTATGTTTCAAATGCAGGGCAGACACTGGTACGGCGATGCATGTGTTTTGGTATTGAGATCAAATGAAAGGTTACTGGAAGGAGATCCACAAAATTATTCAAAAGATTACTGGAAAGATGTTTGCACTGTCTCCAAATGTATATCTTCTGAACTGTAAAGCTGGTCTGTGCCTTGATGGTGACAAAGAAAGTGTACTGATTGTTTGTTTATATTTAGTAAGAAAATGTATATTACTACTAGGTCAACTCTTCAGACACCCTCAGTGAATATGTGGATGAGTCAAGCCGCTACTCTTCCACCTCTAGAGAAACTAACATATGATCTGCATCAAAGGTCTGATGTTTTCTGGCACACGTGGTCTTCTCTGTGGGACTTTATTGAAGATGCTCAGTGACTGATATATCCTTTTCATTTTTTTTTGGTCTATAAAATGTCTCTGTTTTTTATTTACTCAGATATGCCCTGTTGTATTATGACTATTATTTCTATTTTTGTTATCATTTTTATATGCATATGTATGAATGAACATGTATATCCAAAGATTGTAAGATATTTGGCTGTACGAGCTGTTATGAGATACCAGTACCACTGTTGTGTTATTGTAAAAAAAAAAAAAAAAACACACCTGATGCACACTCCTTGATCTTCATTTTCTAGAACTAGAGTTTAAGAACCTTGCTGTATTTTTGTGCAATTAATTAGGAGAAAGTACACCACCATCTCACTCCAACGAAAGTGACTTTAACGCACCTGCCGCCGTAAACACGACTTCCCAACTCACAATGCACATTCCTTGATCTCAATTTTCTATAAGTAGCCTAGAGTTTAAGAACCTTGCTGTATTTTTGTGTAATTAATTAAGAGAAAGTACTTGAACGCACCTGCCCAACTCGTAAATATGAACTTCCCAGGAGGACTTGAACGCACCAAAAGTAACAATTCTTCTAAAAATTGTGAAATCATTTCAAACAGTTCTGATATTAGAAAACAACTACAAGTTATTTTGAAACAACGCAATTTATATGGTAACAACGTAAACTGTAAAATAATGTTAAAGAAAATTTGGTTTAAACAACCTTAGTTCAAGTAAGACCAGTTTTACACAATTCTCTCTGATAGAAGGTTTCGTTTA